AGTTAGAGAGAGAGAGAGAGAGAAGGGGGACTTCCCCAGCTACAGTCCAGTGTTAATTCTGTCTCCTCCTGAGCACGCGAAGACACGTTTATCTTCCAGGTTTCTACAACCTGTTTGGGTTGTTCTTCTGAAACACCTTCTTATGAAAACACCTTCTAAGATAATTTTCATAACTAAGAGGTCACAGACAGGACACTCTCCACCCCTCACGCCCCTCTGGCAAGCAGCAAAGGAGGTCCCCCATTCCTTCTCCAGGTGCCACTTGCCTCCGTTTCAAATCAAGGCACACCAGGTACCTAGACTGGACACAGGTAGGCTGACTGTTACCAGGAGGACAGCAGATGCTGGAAAGTTGGGCGTGGTGGGTGTGAGAGTGCGGGGGTCTGGCTGGCTGGCCGAAGAGAAGGGCCAATGGGGAGGAATCATTTAGACTGTGGATGTGTATATGAAGATGTTTGGGGCAGTCACATTGCCATGTCCCTGGGGCAAGCGGGAGCCATAACCCAGTCATCCCCACAGTGTTGCCTGCTCCCTTCGGTGCACAACCATGGGATCCCAAGTACAACCCTGCTTCCTGGCTGAGGCCCTTGTGGGCAGATCTTCCTGTAGCCTTCCTATTTGCTGATCTCAGCCCTGTCTTTGATCTTTGAAATCTGGGTCCTAGAATTTTAGGAAATAGTCATATCGGTAGAAAGCTGTCGACAAATTTGGAGAACATTGGGGAAGGGTAAAGGTACGTGGGGGGCAGAAAGAAAAATTGTAACCTTCAGCGTTGCATCAAAGGAGGAAGGCGTTTTGTTCCAGCAATAAAAAGAGCATCACCTATGTGTTATAAACACATACCCTTCGGGCTTCCTGGCTGAGACACTTTCAGGTCGGGTCAGGCATGGACAGCTCATTTCTGGCCACTTAGTGAAAATCACTGATATTTGCACAGATCTTTTCCTTTATAAAGCGTGACACAAATATAATCTCCTCTGGGTCTTATTAAGGCTGTGCAAGGCAAAAGAGGAAAAGTATGAATATGATTATGTTAACATTTATCCCCATTTTCAGAGATGAGAAAACTGAGGATCCGAGTGCTTTCAGTGAAAAGCCAGAGGCAGAACTAGGGCTTAACTCATATGTTCCCCATTCATAGCCTCATCCTCAAGCTGAAAGCAAAGGCTTCAAATCATAGGAAGGAGGCATCGGACTTAAGAAAAAAAATCCTCTTGCAGTTTGGGGTCCACAGAATGAGCAAGCAGAAGTTTCTTCTCTATGGACCACCTGACTCAAGTGCTCAGAACTGTGAGCAAGTTTGGGAATTTTGCTGAACGTGAAATGCACACAGTTGGCACTCATCATCTCTGACTTGGATTCAGAATCATGGAGGGGAGGGCACTGGTCCTCTGGTAGAAGTGACCTGACGGAACAGAACGCGGGAGCTTGGGGAAGGTGGAGGTGGCCAGAGCTTGAAATTCGCTCCTAAAAGTGAAGTGGGGGCTGGGGGAGTGGCAGAAAAGCCAGACGTCCAGAGACGTCCTCCGACGTGCAAATGACAGGGACAGGAACGCAGATTAGAAGTCAGCGAAGTTCCCGGCCCTTGAGAATGGAGAATTGCGCTTGGTAATGCCATCACCGGCCCAGAACCACCAGGCACAGCGGTTCACCTGTTGGGCGAGCTTCGCCGGCTTCTTCCCAAAAGGCCAGGCTGAGGGTGCCACCCACCAAGCAGCCCTGAGGTTGGTCGGAGGTGCAGGAGGTGGAACGGGAGCTCTTACTCCAGGTACCAAACAGAGCCGAGAAAAAGAGGGGAAAGAAATCGAAAAGAAAGAGCAAATGAAGCGGAAGTTTCAAGGCCCTCTGCGAGGAATAACAGTATAAATAACCGAAGACGTCTTGTAAACACTGCGGTCATAACCCCGAACATTAAACAGCCCGGGGGCATCTGGCTCATCGGCCGCTGCGGGCTGCGCTGGGGCAGCGAGTGAACCCGGTTCCAGGCTCCTCGGCCTTGCCTCTCTGTTTATCTCTACTTAATCTTCCCCGACGAGCTGTTCCGTAGCCTGGACGATGTTTAAATTAAAACCCAGTCTTCCGGAAGTCGTGGCGGGGAGCTGAAGGCGCGGACTACCCGTAACAGTAACCGAGAGGCAGGCACGATTGGTGTTGGAAGTAACTCATTAATTAATTACTAAGAAGAAATCGATAATGTATGTTGCAGCACTCTCTAGATGTTAACACACATCCTCAAGGTTACGGAATTTACACTTCTCGTGACTCGCACTACTTCCTCCCATTCTGGCGCTGTGGGTTGTTCGGGCTCCTGTCTGCGGCTACACAGTTGAAAAACGTGAAATTTACCTGAGTGCCCGTGTCATGAATTACACTGCGAATACACGAAAAGCGGATTTTCCTTTTCTGGTGTGCTTTTCCCTCGAATCGTGTCACTGTTGGTAACTTCAACACTGCCCTTTTGGGTTCACGACTACATTATTTATAATTGTCTTCAAAGTAACCTGCAAACCTGAGACCAGAGTTTCTTTTGGACGTTTCAGTGCAAAATGAGATCTGCACCTTGACAGTGGAAACTGAATCTTTCCCCCTCGCTAGAAATTTGGCTTGAGGTTCAAAAGAACCGCCTTTATTGACAAGCTTCCCCATAGTCCCCAGTTCTTCTGTTACAAATAATTTTTTTTTTCCAAAGAAATCACACTAATGTCAGGGCTTTTTAGCAATATAAAGAAAGATTTATTTTTGAAAGTAGCAAAACCTGTTTGAAAAAAATATATATCTTTACGTGAATTACTTTATAAATGTGACTGTCAAAGTCAGCTATTCTATGATCTACAATTTACAACATATTGTACAAAAGATACACGTCGATATGCTCTTATTATCTATTTATATATTTATAATTACGTATGGCACTTGGACCAGCAAGGCTCGCAGAGTCATTCACGGTAGAAGTTAATAAAGTTAAATAGATGGGAATCTTTGTAAGTACAATTGATCTCCTCTGGTTTGGAAACGAATCTCCTCGTCGCTGTAAAGTGTTCTCGAG